GGTTTTGAGCAAACAATAATATTTTTCTTAATAAATTATAAATTTGATGATATCATAAAAACTAAAAAAATATATATAAAAGTCCTCATTTTTTTCCTTTGTAATTTTCTTAAATTCAATTTTTTTATTATAATTTAACTTAGGTTTTATGACGAAGTAATTTATTTTTGGTTTAATAACATAATTTTTTTTGAAGTATATAATATTTATATACGGAAAATGCAACAAATAAACTCACACACCCTCCTCACCATTGGTGAGGTTTGAATCCCTGACCTCCTAGGAGGCCAAGGGCTACGATACCACTAGTTACACGAATTCATGTATTTGATTATATATTTAAAATAAGATTTTTATCATATATTTAATTATATTTATCTACAGTTAGTTACACGAATTCAAACATGGAGCTTAATAAGTTGTACTTACGCACAATTTACTTGTAATCTTGAATTTTAAGTAATATGCATCAATAAACAGTATTTCATATATAAGAGATGATTTTTAAGAGTTTTTGTTAAATGTTTTATTAGTGTAAAATGACCGTTTTTTTGTTTTATTACATGCTTATAATCCCTTTTATCTTTTTGAGTTCAACAAAATCCGTTTTTTTGTTTTACCATAAATTTGAATCCTATATGTTTTCTCATTAGATGTATTAATAATACATTCTCTATGTATCTGCTTCAAATAAAAAAAACTAAATATCATGAAAAAGGTAAAAAAAAAAAGTTAAAAGAAAGTTCATATGTGAATCATTAGAAAAATGTGGAAAAAGAATATATTTGAATATGCATATATATTACAGATTATTCACATGGGTTCACATATGTATCTTTATGACGCAGTAGGAAGTGCGGAAGGATCGACAAGAGTCTAAATCCCTTTTGAACTTTTTAAAATTACAAACGTAAAACCCAAAACTCATAAAATACTCTCAAAGAGACGAACTTTTATTAATAAATGATAATCTGATTAAAACAATAACTTGGGTGGTATCAACAGATGCTAACCTAGATAGTATCGAATTGAAACCATTTATGTGATCTGTGACAAACATTCCTTCCTTCATCTTCATATTCACTAATTGTCTGATCAAGAACACCTTATCCACTGTTGAGGGTTTCTCGTACAAGTTGGATAATGCCTTGATCAGTCCAAACTTTGTGTTCTCATTGACAATGTCATACGCAACATTCTTTGTCAACGACAACCTGACCACATCAAGAGCCCGTCAATCCAACAAGACTCAATCCTCCTGCTTCATCACTTCAGGTTTCTTCTCAGACAAGGGTTCATATGACTTCCAAAAGCCAAAATCTTGACCTTCGAACTTATCGATCTTAACCTTCCCATGTTCGCCCATGGCTAAGAAAAAATTGTCTTTTGTTCGAMAGAGACTGTACAACATCCATAACTCTAATCAACGATCCGATCATTAGAAATGTAGATAAAACGTTTTGGATATACTGTCCAAAAACCATCATGATCCGACCGTTCAATCTTTGGGAATAGGTAAAATGGAGCGGTTGTGCGTTGTCCGAATGTGCTGCCGAATTCCTTCTGTTCGACAGATACTGTATGACCTCTGGACCTCTATTTACGATCCACTCGGTGAAAACATAGATAACACATGTATGGATCTACTACCCAAAAATCAAGACGACTCGACCGTTCAATCTCCAGGAATAGGCAAAATGGCATGCCTACGTCTTGCTGCCAAATTTTCTTCGCTTTCTTCTTTGCTCTGCTACCAGTTGTTGGGCTAAGAACAAAGATAAGCACACGATAAACACATAATTAAAGATGTGAAAAAGAAGCAACAACACAAGGATTTACGTGGTTCACACGATCTAGATGATCGTGCTAGTCCACGACGAACTAGAGAGATTTTTCTTATTAAGCTTACTACCATTACACATGCTTTATGCTCAAGTTACAAGATTACAAAGAGATCTATTTGTAGAACAGAAATTAAGTTAAACTCCTATGTGCTCTGACCTAATTCTAGAATATTTCATTCTCTAATATTTAATCCAACTGTCAAATTGATCAAACTCCAGAAATCAACAATGATAGTGGTAGAAAGAATCTTCGTGTATGATACATTCATAATTGCACCTTGCGAGTATTATTATGATATATATATATAGGGGCTGGTTCAAATAGAAA